ACTGCCCCGATGGTGCGGCTATCTAGGCTAGCTACCCACCTGTGTGAACTGCAAAGCAGCCAAAAGAACTTCCGGAACCGGAACGCAGCCGCAAGCCGCAGACGCTTCTCCATACAGGAATACGAGGTAAAAGTCACCTACACTCAAGCAGCCACGAAAGCAGCGACGGCCAGGAGGAAGGAGTTCTGCACAAAACAGGACCGGCAAAAAGCTCCCGGTCCCGATGGATTATCGGCAGATATTTGCAGGGCGGCAATAACTTTCAACAGGGAACTGTTCTTAGAGGTCTTCCCCAAGCAATGGAAGGTCGCTCATGTATGCAAAAACAAAGAAGGATGACTACACGAACCGAAAGTCGTACAACGAGGTATTGAAGGCACTTTTTTGCCTTAGTAGGGCGCTTATATGCTGAAAACAAAGCATAGCAGTACCTCATACCTGGAAGACCGAATCAACTACGCCAGAGCGGCTAGTGAAAAGGGCACCACGTCGGAAGGATGTCTTATGTTGAGAAGGCACGTATATTGTCCATCATCGTGTCACGTATGTTGTACATCAGCATGTCACGTTTTGTCCAGGGTAAGTTAAGGTAAATATACTGTTTTCCGTAGGCTTTGTGTTAACACGTAGTCAGGTACTATCTATGTATATTTAAACCATCTATTAAAGGAGAGAAGGCACTGTAGTTGAGTTCAGTTGAGTCTCAGTTCATAATTGACTGTCAAAGTAGTACCCATCATGTTGTTTAACCCCTCCTCATCACCACATCGCAGCGTACAGGGATCAATTGCTGGACCGACAATTTGGGACCTTATCCTAGACCCACTCTTACACAAAATGGCAATTATAGAGTTTGCTGACAAGCCTTCGCAGTTGACGTCGTCCTTAGCTTCGTGTAATCTAGTCCGCAAGTGGCCGCAACCCTTTTCAAGGTCAAAAAGAGTCAACAGTTTATACCGCCTGGCCCCGAGGGAGTGCACAACTCCAAAAACCCCCACCTAGCTCACTCAAAATAACTGTGTACTTGACTCCCGAAACTCAGGCGGCTTATCACATAACCGGCCCCAAATATACACTTCGACGGCATCAACATAGAGGGGAAAGTAGGAGCTGCTCTAACATGGTGGTAAAATGGAAAAGTGTCAAAGTACAGTACCTTTGACCTGAAGCCTCACAATACTGCCTTCCAATCGGAAATGTACGCTCTTTTCAGAGCTCTAAACATGGCAGGAATATTCAGGGCGGCCTCGGTATCTGAAAAGTATCGTAAGTGACTCAAGATTGTCACTAGATTAGCTGAGGAACCCGTCTGTCACTCACCATCTGGCACTGAAAATCAGGAATACATTCGGAAGATCCGAGAGGAGAAAGAGGGATGAGGTTATTTTGGCTAAGGGCTCACGTGGGAACTGCTGGGAATGAGAGATCCAACGAGCTAACCAAGGACGCCGCACAAAATCAAAACAGTGGACTACAAAGTCCTCGTTTGTGAGAAAGATGATAAAAGAGGGGACTATCAACAAGTGGCAAGCGCGGTACGAATCCTTCAGCATAGGAACGGTCACAAATGTGTTGTTTTCAGACTTCCTAGCGGCGAAGAGAACACTCAGAGACGCAGACCTGACACTGCTCCTCATACAACATACATGTATATACACATTATACAACAATGCAATGAAACTGTATAGCACCTGGTACTTGAATGCCCAAGGTTATGTTATGACAGTATGCAATTGGAACAAATGATCGATGCCCGGCTAAGCCAATCCACACTCCACACATCGTGATGGGGAGACAGAAAACCAGGAAACCTTTCTTGGTGTTCGCGAGTCGTCGCAATGTCGCCGCATTCGCAGTCAGAATAAATTAAACCTTGTAAACACAAAAGATGTTAACAGCTGTAGCCACTACACGAACGAACAGCACACCGTCACCAAAAATAGCGGCAATAAGCACTCCACCAAAACCACAGAGGAGGCACCAACACTAATCATAAGAACACAACACTCACGTATAAAAACAGACATTCTCATCGTCAGCACCAGAACCAGCTGAAGCCGGTCGGCTCCCAACACCATGCCTATTAGGTACGCAGTTTCTGGTAGACATTGGACGCGTTACACCAGACAAAAAACAGCGAGGAGTCGCTCTGTTCATGAACGCAGACAAATACTGGGTATAAGTTTCTGCATATGTTCAAGCCGAACTGGAGCCCGTATAGACATTTCGCCAGGCCTTGCCACCCTGAGTACCACTAAAGCGAAAATGAAAGGCGGAAAGTACGCTGCCCTGCCTTAAGTGGAAATAGACACTCACCAATGCCGCTTAGTGGGATTCAAAGGAAAGACGATGGCACTACTTGAGGTGGAAGAGCAGACTCCATTTGCTCTGGCAAACTCATTGCTCCAAAGAACTTGCGCCAATCGCAGCCCGCATCATTAGTGTAGACGCTATGGCGATGGGATGGGAAAGAGGAGACGTCGCTAACCGCTTCGGCTGTCTGAAAGCTTCAGAACATCATGAGGTGATCGTGTATAAGGACAGAGGGGAAAAACCGAGTTTTCTCAAATACCATCTGACGGCCACGCAACATCGAAACGCGCCTATCATAGAGATGCTTGGTGAAATCCATGGCGGGTAGCAGTCCGCCACATTAACAACTCGTCCTGGCTCGACGAGCTGCCCATATTGCTGCTAGGGTTACCTCAATTCTGCAGAATACGTACGGCCAAATGCTTCGTTTACCGGAAGATGTTTACAGCTTCTCTCACAAACGAGACGATGTTGATCAGGAGTTTCTAAGACAGTTAAGAGAGACGATGAATAACTTGAAACCTGTATCAAGGGACGCGTGGGACTACCAAACATTAATAAATACGACTATATATTCTTTCGTAACGACCCTTAACACATATGACGGTCCATATAAAGTATAAAAGAAAGAAAACTAAAATTGTTTGTAATTAAACTAGCAAATAGGAAAATAAATGTTTCCGTAGACAGACTTAAGCCAGCATTATGTATTTAATAAAGAAAGATTAAAATGTCCGCCAAAAACAAGAAGAATCGGTCGCACTATTAGGCGACCTGAGTTGTCATTAATAACAAACTGGGTCTCGAACAAGTCAGCCCACAGACCCTCGCATAAAGTTCAGACACCACAGACCACGTTAAGAGCGCCTTGCTCGATTACGTCGTGGTTGTGAGGGCCACAAAGGAAGGAAACCTTAGAACGTGCGGCAAGATCATGCTGACCTTCCAGAGGAAATCTGAGGGTCTGCTGAGGGTACTGCTTGAGGAAGCAGGGGCGGCAGTGTACGACAACGCCACATGAAATAACGGGGTCGTACATGGCCGCATACAGTTCGAGAAGCGGCTTCGTGGCCCTGAACGAGGAGGAAACGGACCGAACGGGCAAAGTAAAATTCAAAGCGTTACCTGACGACCCGATAGTGATTACCGCTAAATGTACTAAAATCATGCTGGAGTATAGGATCCTAGCAATGGCACAGACCGTTTTAGGAGCTTCAGACACCTTAGCATCGACGGAGGCCTGGGCGGTACCCCAGTATTAAGTGGGTGAACACTACCTGCGTGGTGGGACACTTCGACGAAGGGAAGAATGTCGTGGCCACGACGACGACCGAAGCTGCCAAAGATCTTAAGGAAAAGCTTGCGCGCCGCCTGTGAGATCAAGTAAAGACCAAGGCGCGTACTATGGCAACGGGTACAAGCCTAGCGAGAAATGTCGGGGCTTGACGGTAGGTATACGAAGCTCTCATGAACCACTTTGGGGCCATAGTCATGGCAGTTAAGTGGTCTGGTGCAAGCGAGGTGGTCCTCATCGGAGACGTGAATCAGCTGCCATACTTGAACAGGGAGAACATTTAAGTTCAAGTATTCCCGCCCGAGTCTGGTGGAAATATACTCCGGTATATATGCTTCGAAAACGTCAATATCGGGGGTACATTCTCTGGGGAATCTTCCAGGGGCGCAAATACCGACTACACAAGCACAAAACACCCTATTTCTGGTTCATACGCAAGAAGAGAAAGCCTCTCTTATGCTGGCTACGGGTCCGGAGAACGGTCACACACCTTGACTACTCACGAGGATCAGGGACTGACCTGCAACAGCGTCGTTATCATCAACACGAAGTCTAGGAGGCTCCATATCCACGACAGTATCTCCCATGCGGTGGTGGCAGTGTCGAGACATAAGGTAAACTGCGTCTACTACACCGATGACGCCGACGATGACACATGCCGCTTCATAAGGAAGGCGATGGATGCGTCAACTAAAACGGTCGTCGATTACAACCTCAAGACGGCTATGCAGCGTCGAGACGCCATGCCGCGATGACGTGGTGCCCCTTCTAGCGCCCGCGAAATCCCTGGTCGCTAGCGGGAAATGAGCTCACACCTAAAACCTGATCCCACTATTCTCATCATACAAAACATTTAAAAAAAAGAGAGAAAATAAACTGAACAACTAGTTTTTGAGTTGAAAATTAAGTTTTAATTTTTAAGCTGAAAACTGTGAGGACATGACGGTGTCACTTTATAGAAAAAAACATTATAAGCAAATATTCAATTTACTTATAGAAGAAAGACCACCATGTCTGCGGTAATAGTCTAATTTAAAAAGATGTATATTGTACCTATTCCACTGTATTTTGAAAAAAAATTGTCGCAAATTTTGAGGGTAGTAATGAGTGTGTATGGTAGAGTTCATGTAAGTATGTACGGTAAGCAAAAATGTATGAGAGCGCAGCGTTCTCTTTGGAGTTTACACGAAATATACCTGGTGTCCGAACGCCGTGTTTCACTCAACTCTAGAACAATCAACCAAAAGAGACAGAACTCAAATTAGGGATTCAATCCAAACACTAATTCCTAAATAATTATTCTAGACTAGACTATAATCTATCACTATGACATTACATTCAGATCCATCCAGCACTAGCTGACAACAGAAGGACGCATTCAACTAACATTCTTATTAAAACTATATATAAGAGTCAATTTAGTATGAGCGCGAACGTCACGGAATTATTCGGGCGTTCACAGGTACCTATGCTAAGTGGGCGATGTGGAGTAGAAACGCTTCATCGTCACGTCGATATCGACAATGGCGTTGCGGACGTCATGTGTCGCAGCACTAATCGTTTCGAACGAATTCGCCAGACGGTCTATCGCTCTCGCCTGTGGGTAGAAAATTTAAAAAGTTAATTCAATATACAGATCAGGACCTACCGACAATCTTCGAGGGCCACCATAGATTTAATAAATATTTCTATATTCTATAAATCCTTTTCAGAAAGTCTAAGGGATTAGGTTTCATCATGGGGGAATTCTAGGGTCTAAGGATTTGATCCTCAAATTCATTTATTCCAACTAAACCTTATAATATGTACTTCTGAAACGTCAGAATCACTTGCGCGTTGCTTGCTGTACTAAACTATGGATTGAACCGTGGTAGCGCGGATCCACGCGAGACACAATGTGTTTCCTATTGTTTGTCATATATTGGCAGACAAGACGTTTAAATTGTAGTCTACCCCGAAAATGTTCTCCAACAAAATGCTTAAATAAGAATTTAATAAAATTTACTTTAGTCTGAGTATGTTAGAAACTTTACCTGTATTTGTGAAGCTTCGGCAAGCCTCTCCATTGCTTGAGCATTTAAATGCGAAGCATTCGCCAATTGAGACATGGCCGATGCCTGATCAGCTAGCACTTTTAGCTGTAATAAAAAAAAAGTTATTAAAAAAATGTTTGGTATAAATACTTATGACTGCACGGTTGGTGCGGTGGCTGGGCAACTGGCTGCCGCGCAGCGTGTCGCGGGTTAGATTTCCGCACGGAACAGCTCTTTGTTTGATCCACAAATTGATGTTTCGGGTCTGAGTGTCTTGTGTATGTGGAATTGTATGTTTGTAAACGCATCCACGACACAGGAGAAAATCCTAGTGTGGGAAACTTAAGTTTAAGTATCATAGTTTCTTTTCAAAAAAGAAGAAAGAAAATAACTGATATTTAATTCATCATGGCTAATCCTTGCTAAGTTCCAAACACTAGCTTCTAAGTTTATTAGTGAATGCTCATTCAGTATTTTGGACAATACTTGGTACTAAACATTTCTATGGTTCTATCTATATTTTGATAATCTCTCAGAATTGCATACCAGTAAGAAAATTATTCTTCCTATACTTAGCTCTGCTGCTCAACACCTTCATACAAAAAAGCTGCACTCCATACAAAAAGTGGACTTACCATTTTCTCCATAAGCTGATGCTGCCGTTCTTCGGTGTCTGTTATTGGGTCTTCAAAAGTCATCACTTGTTCGGACTCTACGTTGTTGTGTTCGATGCTGTCTTCATTATAGAAATTCTCATCTAAAAAGTTGTTCTCCACTTCCCTCTTGACTGCACCACGAGGTCCTGATTTATTAAATAGATTGTTTAATTTGGAACAGACAGACACACGCTATAATATTGTGATAAAGTTTCTAATGCACTAACACCCGGTTTCTGAAAGGCTTGTCAACGCTAAAATTAACTAATCTCCTGTTAAATCTCTTGTCAAGTCATCTGATTGGTTGTTTATAATTCAGTCAACCAATCAGATGACTTGACAAAAGATTAAATTGATTTTAACATTGATCGGCCTTTCGGAAACCGGGCGTTAGTGATTTTACATGATAAAAAAAACAATAAAACGTACGTACTGCCAGTTTCATTAGCCAGAAAGAGATCCCATATCTTCTTCTCAATATTAGAGCCCAAGTTGTTAGGGTCACCTGTAGCTTGCACTTTGGACCTCACAGTCGACTTTTTGTCGGCCCAAAACTGAAAAAGAATTAGGTAAGTAGTTTCAATAAAAACTACATATTTCTTCAAATCTCAATATAATATGTGTTATATCCACTAGTGTTAGTGGCAGTTGGAAACAAGTAGGTACCTCATCATTCTGAAGTCAGCTTTGTTAATGTTCAATTGCAACATACTATTCATATTGCTGAATCAGAAGATCAGATTACTTAGTTACAAGAATGTTAATGCTTTGCTTGCGAAACATGACATGTTATTGTACTTATTGTATTGACGACTGTTTTAATGAGGATCTACAAATGCATGTCCGTTTTTTTCTCTTCATTATATTTAGAGACTTTTATACATAATTTATGGCAGTCCCATCGTATCTTATGATTTACTTAAGCCTATTTAATTTATTTAACAAAACGTAATTTACTAATTATGTATAAAAAAATCTAGAACGGCTTCACAATTAAGTAGATGACAATAATATGTTATTGGAAATACAGCTACATCATGTTTATTTAAATGGAGCTTAGCACATAAACTATCTCAAACAGACTGAAATCTGTCACATTCTGCTACATATAAACAACATCCTCTATAACTCCACACTCGTCCCAATTAGGCTAGTTTTGTTTTTCTTTATTAAAAAGCTAAACGGTAATTATTAAGCGACGTGAGTCCAGATCTCAGTCTATGTGCTGTATTACGACAATTTGTCTGCTGAGATTAGTTCTATAGAACCAATGGCGGGGACCTAATTTTAATGTGCGCAAGACAGATGTAGCGAGGCCCGTCTCTGTGGCGACTTGAAGACGAAAGATAAAAATTCTTGAGGCGCGAGGCCCCCTGAACCGCAAAAAAGGAACGGGGATGTTTTTAGTCAGTAAGAGTCTGACACTCCCTACCGCCCCATCCTGGGCAGGACAAGGAACTTAATGTACCTATATTATTTAAATCTTTATTTTTTAGGGTTCCGTTTTTGAACTAGGAACCCTTATGGTTTCGCCATGTCTGTCTGTCTGTCTGTCCGTCCGAGGATAATCTCAGTGACCGTTAGCACTAGAAAGCTGACATTTGGCCCCAATGTGTATATCAATCGCCGACAAAGTGGTAAAAATATTTTATTAGGGTAACGCTTCCCCCCCCCCCTCTACACGTAAAGTAGGGAGTGATATTTGTTTTCATTTCAACCCTATCCTACCCTACCTACCCTGTCATTGTTGGATAAGTACCTATTTAAAAATGAATAGGGGTTTACTCAGGTCATTTTTTGGTTATTTTAATATTTTCGAAAGTACCTAATACCCTAAAGCTTAAAAAAGGCGTCCCCCGTGTAACTTTTGAACACAAGGTTAGAAAATATGGGATTCTTAAAAGTAGAACTTTACACATTCTATCTAGGAAAATTATTTAGAACTCTTGTAAAAAAAACTGAACCAATTTTGTAATTTAACCGTATATGCAAGCATTTTTTTAACTTTGTTTATATATTTTTTATTTTGAGCGTATCTTCTTACAAATAAAAAAATGATTATTAAAATCGGTTGACAGAATCCAAAATTACCAACCCGTCTAGTTTGTATAAATTAGTACCTTATTCCTTAAGAGATGGCGCTATACTTTTGCTACTTACGCTGAATTGCGGTTTTAGGATTTATAATAACTAACTTATTGTGACAGACGGAAAGCTACGGAACCCTACACTGAGCGTAGCCCGATACACTTTTGTTTAAAGGATATTACAAACTTTTGATGTGCCATGCCACCAGAGGCGCATCGAGCTACATAGGTAATGCCCTTTTACTGTCAGCACATAATAACGCATTTTCTACTTTTAATATTTCAATGTAGGTTAGTGATTCCGAAATTCCAAGAAGTACCAACAAAATAAATGTATCAATAATATCATTGTTTATTTTAAAATATTTGTCCCAGCTACTGCTCACATCGTGAAGATTATAGTAGGTATGCAGCTCCACACCAACAGCAGCTTGTACTCTCTATCTAACAAAAACCTAGATATTTGTAAGAAGACATTAGATCAAGTTCGCTATTGTTTATGAAGTTCTATAATAATCTTCTAGAAGTTAAAACCTGTCATCTCCTATAATTACAAAGGTATTCAATGCATTTTGAAGACATGTCCTTACAACTAATATTTATTAAAAAATACATGAGTTCATTTTAAACTAGACATTTAGACATTATCTTATAAAAGGTGGGTGCAGTGCTTGGATCAAAAGAAAGAACTTGTAACACTTTAAAAAGACCCTAAAACTCAGTTTGTTAGTTGGTCTAGTTTTGAATTTTAAAAAACGGGAAACCTTATCCCTTAAAAATAAAGTACTTATTAAAATAAACTTACTTTTACCCAAGACTTCACAGGTCTGGTAGGGCCGGATAGACTATTGACCAGACGGGTCAATTTTAACCACAGCTTCTTACCCTCATCTCTACCTTCAAAACCCCTCAATTGACCTAAGCCTAAAGCTGGGTGCTTCTCCATGAAGTCCACTATAGCTTGCACCTGCTCTAGGCTGGGTCGGGACTGAAAAACAAAAAAATAATAATTTACCTAATGCTATTGCATGTGTTTTGTCTTCTTCATGACTCATTGTTATGGTGGGGTCACTAGGTACTTAAAGTATTTTAGGCAAAAATCCTACTGAGCTAAATACTAAATTGTATAATTTAGGAATTAAGTAGTAAGTAGGTATTTTTTCTGTCACAAATATTAATATTTAGGTAGTCTGTTCCCATCAATAATGTTGTCAACTTTGGTTTAGTGAATTATTTACACTTTTATAATATAGCGAATATTATTGTCAGAATATGTGATTCATTAGTAAAGCAATAAATAATTTAAAGTATCATTGCAATGAAGTAAATGTAGAAATATCGTAGACTAAGTTTTAGGAAGATATCAATGTGATATAAAAAAACACCGAAGTAATACATTTTGTTTATTTTAAATCGATATAAAAGTAATTGTTTAATCGCATAGCTCGATACTCTTGTGAAATCGAACTCACGCTCGAATTCGAACAATTCTCGACTCATCATCAACAAAGTGAAAATGCAATGAGTAAGTCGGAGTAAAACACGAACTAGTTACGCTAAGACCCGTTCGAGTTACCGTGTTTATAACGAATCCTTAAAATCTATTGTAAATTATTGTTAAATATCAATGATTGTTCCACTCACCGCTATGACCCGATCCGACATGTTTAAGTTATCACTTAAATCAAATTTGTACTCATAAAAATGCTGCAAATTATACCATCAACGTTTCTGAATAAATCAATACTTCAGTACCAAGACTTCCATTTTGAATTCGTGTTCACAAAACCTTCGTTCGTACTTCTACGTGTAGAACGTCGATATCTAAACAAGTAATCACGCACGCACGACAAAGAAAGACAACCATTGGTTGGGGTTGTTGTATGAAAGATAGGTCCAGTTCTGTAAAATAGCCTAAGATTAATTTATGTCAAGTTAGCTTCATTACTACAGCACATTTTATTCACCCGTTTTATTTAACTGAAATTATTTAAAATCAAAAATAGTAAACTTGGGTCTTGTCAACAGAAAATCCTCATACTCGCTCAATAGACAATGTAATAAAATAAAAAAAAAATATATCTATTGGAATGTCAAATTGACACAGAAGTAACTTGTCAAAAAAAGTGAATTTTAGTTTGTGGCGGTCGTTGTTTGTTCAGGTCGCCTAAAAGATTATTTTCTGTGATTGTTTATTTATTTTCACTAAAGAAACAACTTTCCGATGTTGTAAATATAAATCACAGATTTTTATAAACGTATAGATAACTCATATAGTACAAACTATCATAGAGTGATAAGTTTTACAAGTACATACTAGCAATGTTATGGTAAATCATTATTAATCTAAGCTAACAGGGAAAGCAAGAAGTATGGCAAATTCCGTAAACATATCTATAGAGGCACCAATTGAGAATCAAATCCAAGAAATTACTTACGATGGCCAGGAGATATATCAAGCGTAAGTATAGGCACTGGCATGTGCTACTTATAATTTCTATGAGAAGTTACAAGTAAACATAGTACCTTTTCATTAATTATTTGGTCGTTTTCCAGGCCCCTGTCCATGTCAGAGAACCTTGCCCGCTTAGCACAGAAAATAGACTTTTCGAAAACTGAAGATGAGTTTTGTAATATTAAGAAGGAGGGAGAGAGTAGTTCTGACTCGAAGTCGGAGGATGAGAACAAGGAGCCCGGGTACCAGTCCAGCTTGTGGCCATGGGATTCTGTCCGAAACAAACTTAGAAATGCTTTGACAGAAGTGTCAGTATTGGCTGATGTGCTCAGCATTGCTAAGGAGAAGAGGTACATGGTGAGTAACATGAATAATCTGTGTTTATTTTTTATTCAAAATGGTAGTATTGTTACACCTGTATTTCGAACTTTTTAGGGGTTGTTAGGAAAGAAAGTATTGGAGTTCAGAATAATGCAATGCAATTAATAGATATTGGTAAAGTATATGAAGAACATCTTGAAGAAAAAAGACTTGAGTTCAATTTGATTTGTCATTACTCTTGTACAAATTAATAAATTTATTAATTTAAGCCAACCCAATATAAGCTTGACTATCTTCTAATAGTACTTTAATCTACCAAGACTTCATTTGCACTTTTCTTTATTTATGAGTTCAAAAGTCTAAATTTCACTTAAAGCAACCATGTACTATTACCACCTACACATGTTTTGCGAATAAAGTCATCTTTATCTTTAAAGCTTTTTCTCTTCTCCATTTTGCAGGTTCTAGACCCAGTACAACCAGAGCAAGTAGAAAGCAGGCCTATGGTGCAAGTTTATGGACGAAAGAAAGCTCTGGGAGCTGCAGCCGCAGTGCTGCTGGCAGGAGTGGAGCGGCTGAGGGCCAGTGAGACAATGCGTATGACTCGCAATATGCCCGACTTCCACATAGACCTCTTGAGGCTACGACAGAACTGGAGATTGAAGAAAGTTTCCAACACTATTGTTGGAGACCTAAGTTACCGTACTGCAGGTTCAAAGTTTAGTCAGACTGGAGTATTTGAGGTTTGTATGAATTATTTAGTTGGGACAATTAATTATTGCTTTTTTTATTTATATGTAAAACAATACAATTTTATGGAGCTAGTGGTCTTTAATTCAATAATCAGGTTAATAACATAACTAGTTAACTCTAAACACTGCAGTAAGATAATGAAAAGTACGATTTTCGTAAAAAAATATTGTCTGATGTAACAAAATTTTTAGGTGACCAAAGCTCCTGAGGAGCAGATAGCTCAAGCAATGAATGCAGCAGGGCCTGTCCCATCAGCGTTGCGTGTTACAGTTCCACCTGAACTCCAAGGAGTTGCTTTTATATCTGTGCTCTGTCAAAAAGGTAAAATATCTTTCAACAATCCACTTGTTAATCTAAATTATGTTGCATGTAATCAATTTGCAATGCAGGTTTTCAATGTCTCACAGTTTTTAGCATTGCATTGCAACAAGCAACACTGTGATCCTTGTGGTGGGTGTAATATTTGGAACCGCTAGTCGGATTTCCAAAATTCTTTAATTGGTAGATAGCTACAATGTTCTTGAGTGCTATAAGTTATAAAACATTACACTACTATCTATAGGAGCTGAGTAGCGAGTGAAACCCCGCAAGAGTAGCTAGTTTTAAGTTAAACTTTGACTGTTTTAGAACAAGAAGATGTAGTCACAGCTACTCTAAGTTCGGCAGCCATCAATTGCCCTGGAACCCTGCCAGGAGATGGAGCAGAACTTCACTGGCAGCAGAAACTTGAGGCGGCCCAGAATGTACTCTTCTGCAAGGAGTTGTTTGCAAGATTAGCAGCAGAAGCAGTTCAACTGGATGCTTCCATACCACACATGGTTGTGGGCAACCAAATTATGGCCACTGTAAATAAAATTGCATATTCTCATGTATAAACTTAAATGACTTACATATACCTAACAAAAATTAAATTCTCCTATTATTTGAAAAATAAAAATAATTCGCAATAAGAGATGAAGATAGAAATATTAAAAAAGATGAATAGAATAAAATGTACTTTAGAGCAAAAAATTGTAATGTTAACCCCAATGTATTTTTTTTTTATTGTTTTAAAAGGTATATCGTATTTATTTAAATATTTATTAATTTTAATGACTACCTCAAGACTTATACTGTACAGGATGTTTGATGACACTTTGGTTTTTTGTAAAAGTTTTCTCTATTTTAGGTTCTACCAGGCATACAGTTATTAATTGGACTTTGTCACAACAATGGACAGAATACAAACAACACCAATCCAGAGGGAGTAAAGGTATGTAATTTTAAAAACAACTTATTCAGCAGTCCTAGTTCTTTTTTTAAAATTGTTGCCCCACACTAGGATTTTCTACTGTGTCGTGGGTGCGGTTACAAACATATAATGTCACATACACATGATACCCAGACCCAGAACACAGAAGAGTTGTTCCGTGCTGGAATCGAACCTGCGACATGTTGCACGGCAGCCAGTTGCCCAGCCACGGCACCAACCATGCAGTCAACTTTTAAGAGAATGTTCAAATTATTCTTATTTTCAGCCTGAAAGTGCGACAGGAAAGTCAGATCACGACCATGTTTTGGAACATTCCTTACATCAGTTACTCCGGGCTGTGCATCATGCTAACACTCATCATCCTTTCCCACATCCAGCAACAGGACCTCTGGGGCCTTCGAAACGACGCTGTTTGGCAGGTACATTCTAGACTATGATATAATTAATAATAAACTCCAAAATGTATCTAGAGTTAGTGCACATGGCTAAACTAATTTGTTGTATCAACAAGAAAGAAAGAAGTGCAAAGGAAGAAATAAAGGAAAGAAGAAAATGGGCATTAGTTTAAATTGAGTCATATGAAGTATCAATTTCAGTCCAAAACCTAATGTAAATTATAGAGATACACATCTCTGTACTAATAGCCAGGATGTCTATCTACAAGTCTGTTTCAGGTCCAATGGCAGCCGATCGTTATGAATTACTAGATATGAGTAAGGAACAATCTCTATTAGAACAAATCATTCAACAAGCACAACACTTTTTTATGCGGAGGCGGAGCGAATATGTACTTGATACCATAGCTAAGGAGGTTTGTTTTACAATTTATTTGTTAAGGGTAACATCAAAGTTTATTTTATGTAGCTTTATATTAATGTACTTTTACAAAAAATTGTTTATTCGATTGGTATATATTACAGAATTATTGCCAGATAATGTATGTTCAATTTTCTAATGTTATGCTCTGTTTAGGTTAAAGATCCACTAATTGTGTCCCACTGGAATGCACTGAATAGTCCGACTCAATCATGTGTGAAAATCAATATAATGGCATATGGGTAAGTTATAATGGTTAAATTTATTCACAATTTATTTAGCATTGGCCCTAGGAGGGAAATTATTATAGCAGTAGTTAATTCAAATTAATATAAAACTTATTAAAATTATTTCTTTATTCAAATAATACTTTTTTCAGGCTATTTTGTTTAGTTTGGTTATTGTTCATGTTTGTATAATAAAATGTTTTTGTTTTAATATATCCTACTATACTATATCTTGCATTATGATAGTAGTGTACCTATTGTAAGAAGAGATGAAAAGATCTTGACCTCTTATTCACCTAAATGTATTTTTAGTACCTACCTATTATTGAATGATATGTTTTAACATGATAGATAAAACCACATTATTTGACTAGTTTGAAAACAAACTCTATGGTCCAATTCAATTTATATCAATATACACACTGAAGATAACTTATTTTTCCACTACCTACTTACCAAAATTTTAACAAGTTACTTCATTTTTTTATATATTTATTTTGCTACACAGATATGATGCAGTTTGCAGAACTTCACTCGTAGTACATGTTGGCGAGAAGACACTCAAGTGCATTTGTCGTGATGGCAAAGTTAGACATTTGTCTTATGAACTTCAAGAACTTAGGGATCTTATTTATTGTCAGGTATTGTTGGTTGTTTTTTTTTTTCAGCTACCTAAAAACTTTATGTGTACTTTGTATGTTTGTAATGTAATTTGGATCACACAATTGCGTAGGTACCTATTGGTAACGTTTGGAACTAAAGCAACTCGTTGAAGTCTGTTTGACTAATAACATTGTAAACTGCGTATTATATTTATACATACATTTGGTTATTTCCCTATGTAGGCAGTAATTAAGAACAAACAAGTAATACCGAAGTTATTTATCGTGGATTCAAGCTTTGTCCTGTAAATTTATGTATTGTCACTTGAATGTCATACTGTGCTAGCAAATTCTAAGATCGATAATTCTACCAACAGATATATCAGCATCAGATGACTGCAGTTCAGGCTGTAGGCAGGTGCATGGGCTGGCAGCTCTTAGCTAGTAGCTCACATCTAGGTTCAGGCCCTGTGGAACCACTAGGCAATGCTTCTTCGTGTCTCCTTGCCTCTCCAAATGGTAGGTTTTTCACGCCATTACACTATGTTGAATTGAGACGCAATTTGTATAAATTCATTGTTGAGACAGTTACCTTACTCACTATTGGCTTTATTTTTAGGTGACCGGATGTTAGCAATCAGATGTGAGCCATCAGTTGGTATCCAAGTATACATTGCTCAATCTCCCAGAAAAGATTTCTTCACAAGCGAACTTGTTCAAGACAAAAAGTGGGAGCATCTTGGAGGAGCTTTCAAGGAGATTAAATTAGAAAAAATGGAAGGCAAAAACTTTTTGAATAAGATGGAACTTCTAATGGCATGTTTAAGCAGTCCATCGTAATTTTGTGAAAATATTTAAGATGATTATAATTTTGTGATGTCATTTTGTATTTGACATAATAAAAATCAGATAGAATTATATAATCATGTATTTTTTTAAAGAAACTTAGCAATTAGGGTGCTTAGGCAGAATGTTAAGTAATCACTGAAGGATTGTTCTTGCATTAACTTCTCGAAAAATTAAATCACCCGAGATCAGAATTCCAAGGAACTGAAACAAATACAACTTTGTTATTCAATTGCGAAGAACCCACAGTACGGGTGTTGATAAGACTTCAACTTACATTGATGGCTTTATCCGGTCAATGATTCCATCATTGGTTAGATTTTAGGTTATACAGTGTACACATTTACATTATTATTCATACATTCAAATGGACTTAATATTAATTTAATAGTAGTGGATATCAACAAGTGAATAAACAACTGGAGTTGTTTTCACATAAATTTATTGAATGAAAGATACGAGTTACATACATTGAAATGCTAATTATTAGACAAAATTTTAGTTAGACACACTGAATTACATGATAGATAAATCAAAAGCTATTACCTCTAATTCCTTGAGACATCAATGGAACACCTCCTAGTATTAACATTGAACCCCCAGTTTTTACCAGACATTGAATTTAACACTTAGAAGGCTTCAGATTACGATAACACTAACACCTAACATAAAACTAACACTAATTAATATCGAGACAATGGCGACCTAGATCTGAAGTTGCCGCCGCCGGAGCCGTACTCATCGCGTTGGTTGTTGCGATTGTAGGGCCGGCCTCCGCCGTACGAGTTGAAGGATCGGTTGCCACCTCCGGGCGGGCCCCCGAAGCCACGGCCCCTGAAGTTGCCTCCACGTCCACCTCGGAAGCCGCCACCCCTGCGGGGTCCATCCCGCTTCCTAGAGATCTCTACTTTTAGGGTCGCGCCTAACATCTCGAATCCGTTCATCGCGCTACACGCATCCTCAGCCTCCTGCAAGTTTTCAAATTCTATGAAGGCAAAACCGGGAGGGTTGAGAGCCACCCAAACCGAGTTAAGTTTCCCGTATTTATCAAATTCTCTCTCGAGGTCTTCCTTCTTGATGCCTTCAACTAGTCCGCCGACATACACGCGAGTACCACCAGAACTCATGATTGTGTTGAAATCTATAAATAAAATGATTTCAAATCAGATACTTTGTAAATGGATCGCATTAACAAATTAGATGATATTTATCACAAATGTAATTACGACGCAAACGTACTTCGCACAGAAATAAATATATAAATACAATGAAGAAAACAAAATGTCGACACTGCACAAGCATTGCCACGCCACGCCAACAATCAGAATAATATGTACAATACATGATAATTTGGAAAAACTTACGTGTAACGTTGATATAAAAATGATGAGTAATTAAAATCGACCTAAAATTACCTAAATTATAACTATATTTCAACTATTTTAAATATAAATTATGAAGACATAAAAGAGTCGACGAAATTTATGAGTGAATGAACGATCCAACGATCGTTAAAGAAACTCGACGGAATAGACGAGTGAACGATTCCCACGGTGGCGTAGCTTTTAGTGTTGCAACCTATAATAAACTGTTATTATGTTGAGATAAATAATAATTTTCTGTTGAAATTTAATGAATTCATTTAGTATAATGTTTTTTGATTTTTTATACATAAAAAAAACTCAAATTAACTCAAACTATTTTCAGTTTATAGAGAGAAAAATAAAAACAGGATTGTTCGAATGAATGAGTGAATGAATGAACTACTAAGAAAGGCATATTTCGGACACCAATTTCGTGACGTCATAGATAGGCAACAGGCTCTCTCCTTGCTCGCAAACATAGTAGCAGTGGTGGGGAGGAGGCTTTTGATAGAATGAGTGAGTGAGGCTGAAATACGAGGAGGGAAGGGAGGAGGAATCAACACGAACACGAAAACCGGACAAACGACTTCGTTCAACGGTCGCGCGGCAGCGCGTAATTTTGCTTGCTTTATTTTTACTAGCCCCACCTTTGTTTCGTTATGTATTGTTTTGATTCAAATTTTATTAATAAAGAGAAAAAATATTTAAAACATTAATGTTTATAGATGAAAATGTGTTGCGTCGTATAGTGTCAAGTTAGTTTGCAATGTTTGGATAGGTGTTGAAATAGGTTGTAGCAGGTGAGGAACACGGTAAAAGTGAAATGAATATTTTTGTGTATAGTTAGTGAATAATGGAGTGCTGTAAGGATATGGGTTTACAGAAGAGACATAGTCAATTCAGCGACACCAAATATAAGTGGAGGACAGTACTAGTGTTCGTAGTAACGGTATTGTGTTGCTTTTGTGAGTGCAAAGGACAAGAGACGCTTGGAACAGCGGACCCTTATCTTCTAAACAAGTCGTTAGGTCTGACGGAATTGCCGGGCGGCGTGTTGACCGGTGGTCGCACGGTGTGGAAGCCTGATAGTAGCCCATACATGCTGCGTGATGACCTGCTCATAGAAAGAGATGCAGAGCTGGTCATAGAACCAGGAGTGGAAGTCCGGTTCGCGCCTATGATCGGTATTACCGTGCGCGGGAAGCTAGTTGCTGTGGTAAGTAGTAGAATAACTATAGGTAATACCTTCCAAAAAATTTACTCCACTTAAAAACTTATTAGTCTTTTATTGGTACCTGATACGGTAGCTAGAATTGCTTTTTAGTAACTGGTTGTAGCACTCAACGCCTTTGCGTGCTAAGTAATTATAGTGGCTTGTTAGTTTCTTGCCGTTAGGCAGGTTTTCATATAAATTATTCTTAGACTAGAAATTAGTATTTTTAGACATTACCAAGGTGCTGTCTTGTATTACGTGAATTGTAGTTCAAGTTGGAATCCGATTAGAAAATCTTCAACAGGGATAGTGTACCTACTTAATGGTTTTTAAGTCCATCTGAATAATAAGAATCCAATAAGTTATTTAAAATTAAATCTCGTTGATACTACAGGTGATCTATACTTACTATGTTATTTTGATAGATGATGAATTAAAAAGTCGACTCATCTTCTGTAAAATCACGAAATAAAGTTAACCTGATAACTGATATATCCTGTTTTTTTTTCTTTTTATAAATTGCATCTTTTCTGTGTACCAAAATACTTTGAAATTAGTCTAACACAATTATTGATCACGTTATCCGTCGATAAACAAGCAGATGATAAGTATTTTGATAACGGCACGTACCTATGTGCCCTGATAAGGGCTACGTATCGAGCCCATTCAACTGATATTGATGTACTCACCTGTTTGTGTGCCGAGCAAACATTCGATTCATTTTATAAAATTGCGAAATCAAACATTCGCTATTATCAAACTCTTCAATTTTTTTTGTGCAAATAATTCACGTGTTTGAGTTATCGTAAAAAACGTAAAAACCAAAATGTCCAATATCCATTAATAGTCCATTAATTTTCAAAACTTCTTGCACTTAAAAAAGCTATTTCTTCTCAGGTATCTACCTATTCTGTTACAAATGCAATATTTAATTTACGGCAGTGAACTTAAATGAACTTTGGAACGAGCGTACTCTTACTTTAAAAGGGCAAGTTATAGCAAAAGCGGTTGCATTTGTTTTTATAAAAGAAACTAGTATTCAGGCTGGATGTTGTCCACAACCTGTTGGACGTTGACGCATTGCAGGAGTACTATTAAGTTACTTAAGCGACGAAAGAAACTTCGTAATCTGTTTAAATAACATAGCTCCATTAACGCAACAATGCTTGAAAGATTGAATAGTCTGTATCATTGTAGTATTTAATTTCAAAACAGTCTTCAAGTATACGTACACGCTTGCATTCCGATGTGAACGAACACTTGAAGCATAAACGGCTGCTACATTCAAAACAGGAATGAATCATGCACCTAATAATGATGAGGAACACGTGTTAATGAAGGCAGCTGATGCTATAAAGACGCCGGCCGTACCTGACCCGTGCCGACCCCGGATTGAGGCGACATCCTTTCGCTAATTCAATCAGCTTGAACAAATCACTTCGGTGACCCCTCTGCAAGTTTTACGATAGATAACTTCCTTTAGATAAACCGGAGTCATGCTGTTCCGGAGGCATTTTTTTTACGATAGGAAACGGGAACATCATTTTAACAAGCGGACATGTAACTCCATTCAACTTTTAAAACATTATTCAGTAAAATCCCTAGCATGCCGAAAGGATATTCTTCAAATTGCCAGCGCAATTTCTCTTCACACATTTAATTTCATACATCATTACATTACCATACCGTACATCCCAGTATGTAAGATTAAATTACGCATGTCTGATTGACTAGAATGAATTATGGACTACCACGGTAGATGTGCAATTCGATAGGAGAAAACTCTCCCACGATAGTGTATTGTTTAAAATAAGTCACACATTAAAAGTTATGTATCATACTTTGAATTAGGGAAAAGACTAAATAAAATGGACACTGTTTTAAGCATTTAATATTAGGACGCAAATTAACCTAATTGCATGCAATTTACTGTAAGTTGCTGATTGTTTCCACCTTTAACGGCCAAGTACTAAGCTTTACAAACGATTGGAATTCAACGTGAATAGACGCTAGAGTCAGTGACTTGTTCTAATATCCTTGTCCTAATTTGCGTCATGTTTCACAATCACCACAAAAATTATGCATCAAAGCTATGTACTTGTAAGTAGTTAATGTTTTTCACTCATAACAGTAGCTATTTAAACACTTTCTGCTCATGGAAAGATATCTTAAGCTGAAACACGTTTTAAATAATAATAACTTGTGCAATAACTTTTGTGATACAAACTTTCACTTCTTCAGAATATTTGGTAAAAATATGCACCAAAGCAATTTAGTGCCTTATAAGATACGAGGAATGAGTTAATCATCAACGAATTACGTTAAAAGCGGATTTGTTAAAACTGTTACGGACTAAAACAATTTCCTTATCTGACCTACCAAATACAACCGCCATAGTTTGGGACTGTTCATATCAAAATTGTGTCAAGATCTGTAAACAAGATAAACGGGGTATCAATGGTATGTACTCCCAAGTCGCTACATCTCTATGTTTATACCTCAAGCAAGTGAAGCGCGAGGGATAATTTTCTATCGTAATAGCATTCCGAGCTGGAAGGAAAGGTGCACATTGCACCTGGCGTCCGCTAATGACCCCTTATCGGTCACTATAATCCGTCTATTCCAAACTACAGTTAGTCGAAGACTCTCCATGTTTACGGTTGACTGGCTAGTATAACCTATTTGTTTCAATACCGTACAGTAACCTTGAAGGTAGGTATGCAATGCGGCGCCATCGCCGGCGCCTTCTCTGAATCATAGGGAATGGTTTTGCATTTAATGTCCCTTGTCTGTACTAGAGACTTAGCGTCTTTTGTTCCGACGCATTGGCGCTTAAAATGTAATTTGACTACCTGCAGAGCAATGTCGCCCTCTGCACAAAAATATTACATATTAAGTACAAGAATTTTCTGTGCACTGGTGACAAGATCTGATTTTATTTGCTATTCTTAATGAAACACCGTTTCTTATTAATTGCGTCATGCAAAAAACTAATATGTTACCACAGGTTTAATTAGCCCTTCATGGATACTTCAAGTGTGTCAATATGTTTTCTCTGTTCATATGTGATTCATGCTCGATCGCTTTTCCTTTATTATGATTCACTGATCACTGTTAAGTGGCTTCTATTTTATCAGAGTGACGCGTTACACCATTTTAAGTAAGTATACCATTATTTATATACACCTACATTTTATCACATTCGAGTGTTCCATCCTGGTTATACCTGATTCATGTCTTTTAAACCTGAAATATATTAACTTAATGAAAGTTCTTCGTCAGACTTCGAGGCCCACCCATTTGCACTCGAATAAAACAAATCAATAACTTTATCAAGCGTATGGACGTAAATTTTCTGTCTCATTACTCCTGGGTCCTCCTTTTTAACCTCCGATAACCTATAAGATTGCAGTGACTTAGTAAATCATTCTGGATATTGAATACTCCAATATACAGAAAATAATTAATATCAGAGGTTAGCTAAAGGTGCTTGGAAACGGAAAAGTTCTATGGAAACAGTCCTACAAGGTCATCGAGTTCATTCGGAACCAATTTCAAATGCATAATCACATGCTGATGATTTTCTCTGAATCATATCGTCAATACTTTTAAATAGTTTTCGTCATCAATTAGTCGAATGAGTCACCATGTCACCATGTCATATCCTGCTAGCTTGAGGAGTAACTGTTCAAGATCAATTTAATGTGCATTGATACCTGTTCTCCATTGAATGTCATTAGTTACTCGATTAGTAGATATCTATGATAGTATATTAAACAGTTATTAATCATCTAGTCTTTGAGTTAATATAGATCAATAGTTCTAACAGTAGACTAGATAGTGAGGTTTCAAAAACTTCTTAGTTCAGTTACAAAGAATTTCAGCGAAAGTTTATAAGTATAAGAAAAAAAAAACACTCTCTTCTGATAATGCGTTTGTGGTCATAAATGTCTGCGCGAACGTAAATGGCCTAGATGAGTCACCTAGCAACATTTGTTTACTAAACACTTACTATCTTCTCATAAATTAAACATTTAATACTTTGTCGCTCTACTTCCGTTATGGCATTGTTCATAACTTTTATCAGCTACCGGTTGAGTCTATCTAAGTACATATATGGACATTCTTTGATAATGATGAAGTTTGATATTGCCATTTAGTCTTCCTTTCTGCGAATCACTTACGTCTTTGTTATTATCAGTAGAACACGTATGAGATTTGAAACCAAAGAGTACCTAACTTAATGAGATCATTCTCAAAATAATACATTTTAAGAAATACCTTAGTGCTTATTGCCAAACGGAACACAATGACATTACCATGTGATAATGTAGAATTCTAGTTACTCGGACACGAAAATAATTCTTTTGTTTGGTGTACGAAAGAAATTCTCTCAATCATCTTGTTTCGGTTATTTTTCGAGGTCAGTCGCAGGTAACAGTACTGCACAGGCCATTGATTTTAGCATTGCAGCTAAAGTGGGTTGCGGTCGGGAGTGGTATGGTCGGTTACGCAATTCGATGCAGGCAGATGTACTTCAGTAGCTATGGGCTACCTACTTACGAAAATACCAACCTAATTAAACATTTTAGTAAAAAAGCCAGCACATGGCTACTGGAATAAAACAAATTAAATGTTTTTTCCGCAGAGCAAAAAACCAAGTCGTGGGAAGAAGATCAAACACGTAATAACTAGCCACTGTAATTAAATACTATTCCATCAAGATAAACCTTAGCCTTAAAGACCTTGCGAGCCAATGAATCCTTGCAAATTCCACTTGTAATTGCTGAAACGATCGTCCGCTTTGGTAAGCCTATCAAGTTAAACGGTTTCAGTCTCATCTATTTCTGTCTTATTTCTATTGTGCTCTATTATAAAATTCATTTGGTTCCCACGTAATTAACAGTAATTAACAGAATCATACGCTAACAGATTTCCACATTTTTCAAAACGCAATCGTACTTTGCATTACATTCAGAATGTATGAGTTTCGTTGTAATAAT